CGGCACAGACCTGGATGGCCAAAAGGCCTGTTCCTGTGCTGTACTTCTCTTTTGTTCTTTAAAAGTAAGTGAATCAAGGATTATTGGGAAAAGGCAGGAAAGTTCTGTTGAAGACTAACAGATCAACCATGAACTCACTGAATGGAGGAGAGACAATAGGCTGACTGACCTACTTCTGCTCCTGTCTCTTATGGTCTTATAGACTGCAATCCACTACTACGAACTATAAGCACACTGACAGAACATTTAATAAAAATTGCTCAAAATACACCTGTGTTGCTACACTTCTACACAAACACTATCTTGCTTCGAGTAATTGACAACATGCACAGATAAGTCCTCAGAATGGCTTCCTGTTTAAATGCCATGCTAAAGCAACAGAAAACCCAGTTGTATTTCTTTAGAAACTCACATTTAGTTGGTTCTTCATACAAAAGACCAGATCCTAAGAAAAGTGGCCTTGGTTTGAAATCATGTCACTGGGGAGTTTGAAAACTACCAAAGCCTCGAGGGCTCCATGATCAGCAATCTGGCTCCTTCTGTTACATTAGCTCTTCGAGTAGAAGTAATTAGCTCCTGATGATGAGACTATTCGCTTCTCATGTGTCAGGAGAGCAAACCCCATTTAATCATCACCACGGTCTCTGTGCAATGGTTCAGTATGAATTTGCATCTTATATGCCATTGTTTCATAAAACAAAGCTAGTTGCTTAATTTACATGGAATCAGTCTTCCTCACGGGTTGCTGAGTTTAATATTTATCACCCCAGTGTAAAGGTCTCCATAAATTGAAAATAAATGAGTCAAGAATTGCGGTGCAGTAAAGGCACAGGGTTATATGCATAATTTTAAATAAAACTAAATTGCTGATTGTTGATCTCTTCAACTAAAAGTGTCTAAATTGCAGTATTTCATACTTTACCTTCACCATAATCTTTAACAATAGAAGGCTTATTATGATAACTTAAATTTTCATGTTCACCTTGAGTGCAATAAGATGTCTCAGTGCAATTTAAACAGACAAAGAGAAGGATACTGTACATGGAACAGGAAGGATGACAAAGATAATGGAAAAGTTGGTTGGGAGGGGTGAAAGTAGGCTAAGGGTGTGTTTTTTTTTGAAGGTGTGTCTGAATGCAGAGTGAGGCTGAACAGCAGAAGGGTTTGGAGCAGGGCAGTTCAGTTGAAAGACTAGTCTGCATGGAGAAAACAGGAGCAGGAGACACCCTTTGGACGACAAGCTACCATCAACAAAATAACTAACAACTTAGATTTATATAGCTCTGTTAATGTGGTAAACCATCACATTGCTGCATTGCAATCAGACAGATGTTGACACAAGCCAAAGAAGAGTCATTAGGATGGCTGACAAAAAATTTGCTCAGGAGGCAGGGACCAGGGAAAATTTTAAAGAAGGAAATGGGAGAAAGTGAAACCAATCCATTAACCTCCCAAGTGCTGGATTTCAAACAAAGCAGAAGGCAGTCTAAACTGGGAATATTCAATTCTCAAGGCTATAAACCAGAACTACAGAACTGTTTGACTCTAAAGCTCTACAGTGCAAGGAGAAAAAAATGTATTTTTATAAAAAAAGAGTTTAATATATAACGTGAGCCCTCAAGGCTTCTCACAAAACAAAGCAATCTAAAACTTGGTTCAGCATTAACTCTTTCCCAGATAGCCTGATCAACACTGACTTTTCACTGTTCTGCCGCCCAGTGTGAAATGAATTGTTCCCGATAAGTGTGTTTCATACACCTTGTGCCTGCCCCTGCAGCCCCCAACCCCAATTAGCCAGAGTTCTGATTAAGACACAATGCTAACGAATGCAGCAGCTGTCAAGCATGGCTCTTTTCCAGGCACAAAAAGAACAGTCCCCCTCCCACGTCTTTCCTTTCTGATGTTCTCTACTCCGATCCTGATTATAGATCACAAACTTCAAAAAAAACATCAAACACCCAACAACAGCAGCAGATCTGCAAAGATAATGGCTCACAAAAAGGTGCTGCAGAGACCACCTCTCACTGGCTTACAAACCTCAACAGCTGAACACTAGCTTAATCACACCCAATAAAGCGCTCACTCATTTATAATTCTATATTTATGAAGTGGGTTTGAATAAACCCCTCCAGAAATGGTCACCTAAGGGCATATCACTATCGTGCAATCATTTGCTAGGTTAATGACATTATGGGGCATGCCAACTTTTAAAAAAAACTCAAAACAAAAAAAACCAAGGATCTTGTGAAAACCTCGGTGGGTGTTTCTTACTGTATCAGGTATAATCGGCTGTTTCAGCATAAGGGAGTCTACCCAACAAGCCAACACAGTCTCATTAACAGTGAGGTTCCACTTTGACTGAATTCTGTCTAAGAACTATCCTCGTTGGTGACACCTCTCTTTTAATTCCATAATGTATAGAACTGTTTTCTATTATCCACAGCTTTCCTGAATACATGAAGAATTAGATATCTTTAAAAAAAGATCAGAAATGATTTTCCAAACTTTCCAAACAGTTAATACCTTTAGAGGCAGATACTAAACAGGACAATATCTCTATTTAGTAATTTTGAAGGCATTTGGCACACTTGCCTTTATTGATCAGAAGTATTGGAGTTGGGATGTCATGTTGTGGCTGTACAGGACATTGGTAAGGCCATTTTTAGAATATCGCATACAATTCTGGTCATCCTTCTATAGGAAGGATGCTGTTAAACTTCAGATGCTGCAGAAAAGATTTACTAGGATGTTGCCAGGACTGGAGGGTTTGAGCTTTGGAAGAGGCTGAATACGCTGGGGCTATTTTCCTTGGAGTGTTGGAGGCTGAGGGGTGACTTTATAGAGGTTTATAAAATCATGAGGGACATGGATAGGGTAAATAGCCACTGTCTTTCTCCTAGGGTCGCGAATCCAAAACTAGAAGGCATAGGTTTAAGGTGACAGGGGAAATATTTAAAGGGGACCTAAGGGGTAACTTTTTCATGCAGAGGTTGGTGCATGTATAGTACAAGCTGCCAGAGGAAGTGGTGGAGGCGGGTACAATCACAACATTCAAAAGGCATCTGGATGGGTATCTGAATAGTAAGGGCTTACAGGGATATGGGCCAAATGCTGGCAAATGGGACTAGGTCAGATTGGGATGTCTAGTTGGCATTGATAAGTTCGATCGAAGGGTCTGTTTCCATACTGTATGTCTGTATAACTCAATGACTTAAATGTTGTTTTGTGACAGAAAGACCCTGTATCCGAGATATGCCATATGGTTGTTCAGTGTCTGGGGCAGATGGAAGCAAGATTGTTTTTTTAACAGATCCTGTTGCTGACTGCCAACAGAGGTATCACTTCAGTTTCTCCACTGTTGACTCGGTGAATAATGAAGTGAATAAATACACCCATTGAGCATTGGCTGTAGTATACAATCAATAAGCAGACTGGATTAAATAGAGATCCATGTCCAATGCAAAGTCATCGACCTGAAAGTTTGACTCTGTTTCACTCCCCACTGATGCCATCTGATATGATTACAGTTTCCCCCATTTTCTGTTCCTAATGTAAATCTCTCTTAGCATTTACCTCTGGATTTATTTAAACCAGTTACACACAAATGATCAACAAACACGCAATTCTAATTTGATATCCTTCATTTTGGACCTACAAAAGGTTGCAGTATGTTCCTATCATCAGACTATATATTCTTTATGCAAACTTGCATATTTTAAATAGGCAAAGGCTGTTTTCTCTAGAAAGGGAAAGCTGAGGCTTGACCTAATAAAGGTCCGAAGGTCATGAAAGAGTTTGCTAGGATAAGCATAGAGATGCTTTCACTTGCAATGGAAACCAGAGTTAAAATCACTAGTAAAACAGCATGGTTAAATGAACAAGAGACGGGAAAAGGCTCATGCAAACCCTTAAGCATCAGCATTCATCTGTTGGCCAAATAGCCTGGTTGCATGTTGAATATATATGCAAGTGAATTCCAGACAACTCTGCAGCATTATTCAGGGTAATTCCTTTGGTGGAACCGGGTCTGTATTGCTACACCACTAGATTTGAGAAGTGCTTGCATTTTTTCAGACAGTTTCGCACCCTGCTTTTTCCACTCATTGAATTACGAGCCCCACAAAAAGCCACAATGCTTCAGGCAAAATGTTAAGCGTGTTTCACAGTCTAACCACTATATCATTTGTGTTTCTTTACCATAAATGCCAATTTAACATCTTGAAAGAGAATATTAATAAACAGCACTCATTTTTAAGGCACAGCATGTTAAGCAGATCTTAAATCCTGATCAAGAATAGCAGAACTTAAAGCCATTGCGGTGGGAAATGATTGGAAGCAGAGCCAGGACATTTTCTACATAGAAACAAGTTGACATCTTCCGCACCTGTGCACATAACCCAGTGGCAATACAGAATCTGCCTCAAAAATAAGCATGACAGACAATGCCTTTGAGTAATCCACAAATGCACTGACTGATGCATTTAGTGGTTGCACAATGCGCAGTTCTACATTTGGGTCACACACCATTGCATCCAGTGCGAGATGAACCGCAAGAACATCCGATTCACAAATATTTATGATCCCCGTGCCACACTCAACCCTTCACCCTTAATACACAATTACTGAGTCTGACTGATCAAATAACTTACTCCACGTACCAAATAAACAGATCTTACTATATCATTGTAGTGTCTAGGCACTTGATTCAAAACTGTGCAGTGACTATAAGGACCTGTTCATATATAATGGCACAATGATTCTTTTGACCGATTCACCTAATATTTGGCTCACCCGAGTGCTGAAAATGGTAGAGGATCTCAAGCAAAAACACAACCTTATTCACAAATTCTGTTCACTTTAAAGACCTTAATGACTGAAAACCAAATAAAGTTGTTCAAGGAGACATGGTATTGCCACAAACTCAAGAACGAACAGGAGAATTATCTGGTTTCGACAATCAGCATCAGCAGAAACTTTATAGATTTCATGCCTTCACTTACCCCACCCCGAACAAAATAACCTTGCGTTTAATTGATGCAGTAAGCTTGTTTTATTCCATTGATTGACAGCCCCATGACCATGATTGCTGCTTTTACTTGTACACAACTTGGCTGACTTCAGTGGAAAGTGTTGTCTGAGGCTTTTTCTTCAACTGCTGCTTTGAAGTGGCGTAAAGCCTGTGTTCGGTCTGTGCGTATTTTTGTCAGTTTTAGCAACCAATTGACATTCTGAGGGGGTGGCTAAGTACAAGAGCCTTCACTCTGATTAGACTGCTGTGCTAATTGGCAGCCAATCGGCTGTGAACTAGCACTCCCTGTCTGCCTCCTCACTCCCCTAGCTTCTGAGGAGCAAGTCAGCTTCTCAGGTTTTTAATTCTGAATGAAAGTTGTCTGCTTTCTCATGACAAATTAATCCTCAGAGGGCACTTCTAATTTTGCCTAAACTGAAAACCTGCCTCTAGCTATGATGTTGTAAACTTTGCCTCGACCCCTCCCCAAGTCCTCTCCAGTTCCTACGTTGCAAGTTTTTTGTTCCCAGATAATTAACTCCTTTAATTCCAAAGCAGATCATTCGCTCCTCCTTCCTTTACAACCACACCCTCAAAATTAGAGGTGCTTCTACATTTTTGCTTATGTCATGTGGCTCACAGGACTGAAAAATATGATTTTGTTTATACAAATCAAAACCCTTATCCCAACGTTGCAGGTCATGGGATAAGGCAGTAGTTTTGAAAAGGGCGTCACTCTCTCATAGCCCAAAGTACAGAGGTGCAAAATGTAAAGCTGACTTAGGAGGGGGAAAAAAGTCAAATTTCAAAGTGTGAAAATTAGATAAAAGGAATTGCATTTTTCTTTTTAACCCATTCTCTGGATGTCCCAGCACCAGGGAGGCCAGCATCCCTTGGTTGATGATAGGATATAGGGGAAAATTAGGCCATTCAGACCATTGAGTCTGCTTTGCCATTCGATCATGACTGATAATGCTTCCTAACCGCATTCTCCTGCCTTCTCCCTCTAACCCTCAATCCCATTACCAATCAAGAACCTATCTGTCTTAAATACACTCAATGACTTGGCCTCCACAGAGCTTGAGAAAGTGATGAGTAGTCTTGAACCACTACAGTGCATAAAGTGAAGGTCCTCTCCCAAAACTGTTATGAAGGGAGTAACATGAACTTGACACACGGCAGTGAAGGGATGGTAAATTCTGCCAAAGTAAGATGTGGTGGTACTTGGGAGGACAATGTGAAGGTGATGGTATTCCTATGCATATGTTGCCTTTGCCCTTCAAGGTGGCAGTCATGTGAACCTACTTTGAGACAGTCAGCAAGCACTACAATGCACAACTGCAAGAGTAGCTTGACAGCATCTTCTAGCTCTGCAACTTCTACCACTTTGAAGGATAAGAGCAGCTATACCATGCAAGTATTATCACCTTGGAATTAGACATTCCCTAATTTGTAGCACCAGTCCTTCAATGGTGCCCAGTTGAGCATTGATACCAAAGCAAAACAAAGCAAAGCTTCAGCAGCTCAAGGTCCAGAATCACCTTCTCAGGGCTACAAGGGATTAGTATAATTATTTTTGTGGAATCGACTGAATCTTCCACAGTAAATAACCAATTTACTTCTGGTGGTCTGGCAGCATCTGTGGAGACAGAAATGATTAATGTTTCTTCAGACGGTGAAGAAGTCATATTGCGTTTAAAACTTTAATTCTGTTTCTCTGTCTAAATACACTGCTCAACCTGCTGAGCAGTGTGTTTGCTTCAGATTTCCATAGTATTTTGCTGTTAATTTATTTCAGGTGGTGGTGAGGGCAAGACAGTAAGCAAAAGGGACTTTCACGGTTCACGTGCGGCTATCAGGAGAGCCATGAATCCAGGAGAAAAACTTTAGCTTTCCCAGCTCCACAGAAATGTTTAAGGATCTAAAGTTACCCTTTCAATTGTGATCAGTTCCTAGGCTATATCCAGGCCTACACAGCCTCTAGAGGACAGGACTGGTGCCTGGATACTCAGGGTGATCCAATTTCTCAGAAGGCACTGAAAACATAAGCATTGGATGTGTTTCCTGTTTTATGAAGTCACTGCAAATGACTGAGAAGCATCTTAGATTAAAAAGAAACCCTGCCATTTATGTGCTGACAATCACAACAATGACCAGTTTTGACCTCATTAATAATCTGTGATTTTCAAAGTTCTGGACTTAAACTGTGCTTTGCCATCCCAGTCCATTTTCCAACAACTACTCAAAATAATGGCCCAGATCCACCAGGTCCAGGCTCATTGGAGACTGGACTTACGGCCCAGGTTGTACATTAAAACCCTTCAGAAGTCCCAATGTACTGGCTTCCTTGGGAAACTGCAATGGCAAATCCCCAGCTTGCCAAGATCCTCCAATACAGTTCTGGCTTACTTACCCAGATAATTGGCCAGGAAACGTTACATGTAGGACCCTAGCCTAATTCATGGGTAATTACACAGCTGACTTGCCACCCTACTACCCACTTATCTGCCACCCTATCCAGCTGCCACCCTACTCACATACGTAACCCACTATCCACTTTACCACCCTGCTCATTTCATACAATCACGAAGATTCACACCAGATATTTAAATTTACCAAATAGCAGTTCTTGCTTAAAATGTGGGTATGCCTTGCTCCCCCAGCCCTCCCCCAAAGCTCTCGTGGTATGATACATTACCCTAAGGGACTGTACGCTTAAGTCCAGCTAGCCAGCCTTGGAAAGCCCGGCAGCAATACGAAGCAGTGTCTGTGCACTGATGAGCAGGAGCAGAACCCTGAATGCGATTACCACTTTGCTGAAAATCCCAGTCATTAAATATAATCAATTTGACCAAATGGGCAGATGAATTTCAATGCAGAGAAATGTGAGTTAATTAATTTTGGTGGAAGAAACATGGAAAGACAATACAGGTCTAATGGTCCCAGTTTGAGGGGAATAGAGCAGAGGGACCTCAGGGTTCAAGTGCATAATTCTCCAAAGGTAGCCAGGCAAGTTGGAACAGTTGTTAGAAGGGCTCGTAAATGGGCTTATAAATAGGAGCATTGAGTATAAAAGCAAGGAAGAGTTGCTACAACTCTACAAATCGTTGGTCAGATCACATTTGGAGTATTGTGCTCAGTTCATGGCACATAATTTAAGGAAGGATGTTAAAGCCCTGTGGAGAGAGCAAAGGAGATTTACAAGAATGGTACCAGGAATGAGGGATTTTAGATACAAGGAAAGATTACAGAAATTAAGCTTATCCTCCTTACAGCTGAGAGGATTAAGAGGTGAGGGAGCAAATTACTGTAGATGCTGGAATCTGTACTGAAAACAACAAATGCTGGAGATCACAGTGGGTCAGACAGCACCCATGGAGTGACAGCAAGCTAACGTTTTAAATCTAGATGACTCTTCATCAGAGCTGAGGTGAAATGTGAAGTGGACAGCATTTATACTACAGTTTGCAGAGGGGTAGGGTCAATATGGGGGTAGCGGGTGTAATTCAGATTTAGTGATCAGAATGAGAGAATGGCAGAACAATGATGTGTCTCCTGCCAGACGTGAAGGGACAGTCAGTCTGACTGGGATGGGCGGAGGGGAAAGAGGTCATGATAATAGAATGTAACAAGCGAAAAAATACGGAACGAAATGGGAGTTGGTTCACGATTTGAAGGTGTTGAGCTCAATATTAAGTCCAGAAGGCTCCATCGTGCCTACTCTGAAGATGAGATGTTGTTCCTTCAGTTTGCACTGTGATTCACTGGACCACTGCAACATGCTGAGGACAGACAAGTGGGCATGCAAGCAGGACGCTGTGTTAAAATGACTGGCTACAGAAAGGTCAGGGTCCTACATGCACACAGACTGGAGATATTCTGCGAAGTGGTCACCGAGTCTGCGTTTTGGTTTCTCCAATGTAGAGTAGACCACATTGGGTACAGCAAATACAATACACATGACTAGAGGAGGTACAGGTGAAATGCTGCTTCACCTGGAAAGACTGTTTAGGCCCTTGGATGGTGAGCAGGGAGGAGGTGAAGGGGCAGGTGTTGCACCTTCTGCGGTTACATGGGAAGGTGCCGTATGGAGGGAGGGGTTAGTGTCGGTGGTTGCGGAATGGACTAGGGTGTCCTGGAGGGACTAGTCCCTGTGAAATATAGATAGGAGGAGTGAAGGGAAGATGTGTTTGGTGGTGGAGTTCTGCTGGAGTTGTCTGAAATTGTAAAGAATGATCCTTTGAATGCAGAGGCTGGTGGGATGAAAAGTGAGGATAAGCGAAACCCAGTCCCGCTGTTGTGAGTGATAGGAAGGGACAAGGGCATGGGTGATGGGTCAGATGTGGTTGAGGGCCCTGTCAACCATGTTGAGTGGGACACCATGGTCATGGAAGAAGCAAGCCATGTCAGCAGCCCTGTTTTGGAACGGGGCGTTGTCCCAACAGATGCGACATAGGCAAAGGAACTGGCAGAATGGGATGGAGTCCTTGCAGGACGTGGGGTGTGACGAGCTGTAATGAATGTAGTTGTGGGAGTCCATGGCTTTGTAGTGGATCGCAGTGGACAGTTTATTCCCCAAAATAGAGACAGAGAGGTCAAGGAAACGAAGGGAAATGTTGGAAATGGGCGATGTGAAAGTTATAGAGGGGTGGAAATTGAAGCCAAAATGAACATCTTTTTCGAGGTCCAGGTGGGAGCATGAAGCAGCACCAAAGCAGTCATTGAAATGCTGGAAAAAGATTTTGGGATGGGGCCACTGTAAGACTGGAACAAGGATCGTTCCAAATACCCCATAAAGAGGTGGGCAAAACAGGGACCCATGCGAGTGCCCATAGCCACTCCTTTGATTCATCAGAAATGAGAAGAATTAAAGGAAAAATTGTTCAGTGAGAGAACAAGTTCAGCTAGGCAGAGGAGAGGGATTGTTCAGGCCTCTGGTCGAGGAAGAAGCCTAGAGCACTCAGACCATCCTGGTACAAAATAGAGGTACAGAGGGATTGGGCATCCATGGTGAATAGAAGGCTGTTAGAGTCAGGGAACTGGAAATTGTCAATGTGGTGGAGGGCGCGGGTGTAGGTGGGCAGGGTCTGGACAAGTGGACACAGGATGGAGTCAAGGTAGGAGGAAATGAGCTCAGTGGGGCAGGAACAGGCTGATACGATGAGCCTACTGGGGCAATCTGGTTTGTGGATTTTGGGAAGGAGGTAGAACTGGGCTGTCCAGTGTTGGGAAACTACCAGGTTGGAGGCAGTGGGTGGAAGATCTCCGGAGGTAATGAGCTCGGTGACAGTCCTAGCAACAATGACTTGATTTTCAGAAATGGGGTCATGGTCCAGGAGCAAAAATGCCTTGACGTTTGGATGTAGTTTAGCAATAACGGCTTGATGTTTGGCCCTTATTGAGGTGTTCAAAAT